TAATGTGGAGTTTTGATATAACAATTTTTGCTTCTACATTTCAAAAATCACATTGGTTGTTATCGCAATATCAACATGAGGGAATGGGGGGTCCTTCTTATTGGTTTATCGATGAAAACAATTTTTATGAGTTGTGGTGAAGATATTATTTAGATGTACACATCAATTTTTGATTCGAGGTTTTATCTTTTATAAATGTAAAAACATTTTATTTGCAGTGCTCCATAGGAAAAACGAACTTTCGTACCGTCCTTATACGAGAGGGCAATTTTTTTATTGTCTAACCGTATCCTTTTTAAAATCTAAAATCGGTAGAGGCATATTTTATGTGTTAAGTCCATAATAATATTTTAAACCGCCGGAACAATTGAAAAACTAAGACAATATCATAATTTTTTAGAACGTAACCCACACATTATGAGCTCGATATTCTAAAAAACATACTCAAAATTGCTAATTATTTTTAGATTGACGAATGCCCACAATCCAGCTCAGTTTCAGAAGGATTGAATCGACCCATATCATTATTTGAAAATTTAATTACAAACAAAGCCATAATTTTTATTAATAATAAATAATTGCTCACGTATCTTTTTCACCGATGTTAATTAATCGTATCTTAAAAAATGCAGCATATTTATTTTAATTAGATACAAAGAAAGGTCCCACATGCATGTAATGCTTTTTAACCACCAAATTGCCAACTTGCATGTGTGCAAATTCTCCTTTGACCCCACGCTTGATTTTTTTTTTATTCCTCTATCACATCGAGTTTATATATTAATATATTCATCTGTCCTCTCAAATATTTTATCAAAGTATTTTATTACTAATATACAATTTTATATACGTCTAACCATATAGAAACATTGAATTTCTGCAATTATTGTCTGCAAGATTCGATATTTCTACAACTTTTAATAACAGTGTGAATCGAATTTGCATTTTCCTTATTCTCAAATATTATTTTGTATAATAATTTTGGTAGCTAACAAATCAGTACATTTTTTGATAAATTGATAGGACAATCATGTGAAACAAACGGGCTTAGTTTTGATAAAGTCAAATCAAACTACTAGGTTTTTTTTTTTTTAGGTTAGATCTAACATAATTTTGAAATTTAAAATAAAAATTAGCCTCAAAGCCGATTCGACAATATAGTTCTATTGCTTTCCCAGTAAAACAGTATCTGATATTTGTTAAACAAGTTGTGTTTTGTATATATAAAAAAACCAGACCGGACTTAAACGTAAAAGTAAAACATAAAAATACGAATCTTAAAAAAAACCTCCATTTAACCATGTTAAGACTGGATCACGATTCTAATCCTGTCATAGCTTCCCTAATTTACACCAAATGATCGGCTTTGCATCAAAATTCAAAACTATATATATAAATACATTTGGTCCATTGATCTGTGAAACGTCAGAATTTTATTTGGGATAGTAGGCGGACCAGATTGAATAATGCTACGTCCTTTTCATTGTTTTACTTTTATTTATATGTGAAAGGAGGCACTGAAAAGCAAACCGAAAATATATTACTCACCTTTCTGTTTATAACTTTTTTTTTTTAATAAAGGGTTTAATAACTTTTGTTTTTGTCAATTTTTATTTCTAACTTTATAAGACCACGATATAATATGTGAGTTACATGTATAAAAAACTTTAGAACACGGTGAAATGGCTTTTTTACATGTAAATAATTTCCACTGAACGTTTTGTATATTTTAAAATTCCAATTAAACGTATAGAATATTATTCCTAAGAAGAAGTATAAAAATTTGTAGTTTTTTTAAAAAGTAATGAAAAAATAGTATTCGTGAACCTGGCCACCTGGGAACAGAGCAGTGCATGTCAAGGACCAGTTAAATGAATGTGACATTTGATTTTTATCCACCTAATTCTGATTTATTTCTTATACGTGCGATTCATTAATATTTTTACTTTTCTCGGACGAACAGTTCCATTTATCAATACTACTTTGTTATCATATGACTTTTGACTAAATTTTAATACGATTATACAGTAATATAGTCATCAATCAGTGAAAACAGCATTTCAACTCACTGAATCAAGATAAGGATTAGTGCCTTTCTCGCTTCATTAGATAGAATTTCCGATTGCAATTACTTTTGCCATTAACATGATTGTTTGTATGTATTAAATTAGCTTTTGTCAAATATATTAACTTCGAATGTAAAAATGATTGCACTCATTTTACGAAATATAAATATATCAGTAAACATGTCAAATATCAGTATTTTCGTTTAGATCGAGGCTTACATCTATTAGTTGATAACTCACCCGATTACTCTAAGATTTGTTTCCAGAAAATATGTGATAATTTTGAGTTCAGATAGCGGATAGAAAGACTAATTAAACATGATCTGTGTTTCATTACATGATTAAGTAATGTAAACTGATATGAGTTCTAATAGCAAAAGCTATGAACTGTAGTGTATTTGAAGCTGAATCTCACACATTAAGTTCTACAACATATTAAGGTGATCCTAAACTATATAATACCACGCCTAATCTCCACCTAAAGGTAATTGTTCTGAAAATTTACCTTATAAAAACAGGAGAAATCTTTTTTTTTCCTGTAGAATAAGTACACGTGTATAAGTATAGTTCACGTAGTTACTTGCTATGCACGTTTAACCTGTAATTATATTACATTATATTTCTATATTTAAATTAGATGTAACGTTTATCAGTTTAAAAGATTATGTCCATTCGTTGCCATTACTTTTTAGATATCAGATGAATTAATTTAACTTATTGAAACAAAGTACATACTGTATAAAATCTTGGCGTTGAGTTTTTAATAGTTGTAGATATAATGGATTACTTTTAATCATCATATAATCAAATCAAACGGAAAAAAATGTGGGAGTTGAAATCTGATTGTAGTCAATCAATAGTAAATCAGTCAATCAATAAGTTTACGGTAAGGTTGATGTTTTAATTATAAATCAGCCCAATAAGAAAAAATGGGCCGAGACTTACAAAGCCCCAAAAAAACGGTCTAACAAACGAGCAAACTCATTTCGCGCCCTCCCTCTATATCTCGGTTCCGTTAAACCCCATTCTTATTGTTCTCTCTTATCTCTCTCGCTACCTCGTTTCAGTTAAACCCTTTTCTTATTATTCTCAGTCTCTCTCTTTCTCCAAGAACGCCATATCAGATTAAATCCTTCTTCAAGCCTAGTAAAATTCGCCATTTCCATTCGTTTCTTAATCTGAGAAAGTTTCAGAAGATGGATGCTTATCCTGGAGGTAGTAAAGCCGAGCGAGACTTCTCCATCTACGTAAGATCTGATCAATCTAAGAATCAAAGAATCACTTGGGAATCACGTTTCCGACGATTGATTACAACAATCACTCTGTTCTTTCTTTGCTCTATTTCTCAGGTCCATACAAAATTCATGGAAAGCTTGCAAATCTGCAAGAGCAAGGAGGAAGCTGCGAAACATCTATGGGATCACTATAAAATCAGTCCTGCATTCACCGAAATAGGTAAAATTCAGTTTCACCGAATCATTAATGGGTCTGAGGCAAAACCTTCAATAGTTTGGAATCTTTATTTTGTAGTTTGGGATAATTTTGCAACTAGCGAGAACAATCGAAGTATCTGTGAGCGCCAAGCACTGAGTATGCGAATAGAAACCCAGAAAACACCTACAATACTTTTCTTCTCACACAAGTTTTATTGTTTTTTTAATGAAAGAAAACCTTTTCTTTTTGGTCTTGCGACTTGTGTTGCGAATAAGCAGTGATGGCTCCTCCTGCTCAAGTCAATGCATTACGTAAGTCCTCCAAGAGAGTGCAAATACGAACACAACAGAGCTGGTTTTGGAGGGTTTCTTTTGTTTGATTCTCTTGTGGTTGTTGTGTAGCTTCGCAGGCACCAGAGCAAGTTTCAGAAATTGCCACAAGGTCGAGATTTAGGTGGCTCACTGCAAAAAGGGCGAGAGAGCAACAAGAACAACAACGTCGCTGTAAATAATCTTCTCCTTGTTATCTGTGTTTCTCACTGTGTAGACCTAAGAACTTGAAGAATCGGTTAGATGACATTTTTGTGTTTGCTTTCTGTTAGTTATGGAGACTGCTCAAAATTTACAGAGAGACGCTTCTGCATCATCACAAGTACCTCAAGAAGCTGCTAGTGCTAATGATCGTAATCCCCGAATCTTGGAGGAGGAGAACTCAAGTAACTCCAAGAGACAGCGACTTGGAAAGGAGCAAGAGAGGGGTGACAATGAAGAAGCAGAGAACCTGCATCATTAGAATCAATCACTGCCACATTAAACGCATGGACATCGAAGCAGTGAAGATACAGTATTAGATGATTGACAGAGAGATGAGATTCTCACGTTAGCATAGTTTTAGAAGATACAGTATGATGCTTACCTTCTTCATGACACGTACTAGCTTAGCAGTTTAAAAGAACACTGAGGAGAGATTTTATCTGTTTTCTTGGTGGGCTCTCGAGGCTTTGTATTGTTGGTCCCAAACCTGAAACTTAGGAGAAAATATATTCAAATCTCCATCCATTTATTTGTGGAAAAAAATACAACAATAAACCGAAGCACAAATGTTCTGATGCGATCTTTATCCCTCTGACAATCAGAAGTGCAGATATTTGTCTTCATATCATATGACTTTTTTGACTAAATTTTATTGGGTTTTAGTATTACTAGTTAAGATGGTTATACAGTAATGTTAGTCATGAATCAGTGAAAAAAGCATTTCAACTCACTGAACTAAGATAAGGGATTAATGCCTCTCTCGGAGAACATCCATTGTTGATAAGTGACGTGGTTAACCTAAGATTTTCAATGTTAAAGAATGATTTAAAAGATTCTAAGTTACTTATGTAATTAGGATTCGTGTATATCACATAATGATAGAATCTAGTTATTTTTTTATGGATATGGATAAAATCTAGTTTAAGATTATCCTATAAAGTGTATATAAAAAGGTTGCTTACGATCAATGTCAACAACAAGTTTGATCAAATACTTGTATTACTTTACAGTAATGGAGACTGCTGCAAATGTTGAGAGAGTCGCTGCTGCATCATCACAAGTGCCTCAAGAAGCTGATACCAATGCTAATGATCTTAAATCCCTAATCTTTGTGGAGCAGAATTCAAGTAAAGCTCTGGAGAAACAAGAGCTTCAAGCCCCTCAGGAGCCAGTTTATCCATGTAATGAAACTACTCAGCTTTTTCCCTCTGTTTCTCTCATCGTGCCTTCATAAATCTCAAAGCTTTTGTTTTTCTTGTTTTGTCTTTGTCTTTGTGTTTGGCTTCTTTTAGCAACCGAGTTTTGGGAGCAGCTTTTGAGTACTTTGGGTCAGATTAAGAGTAATACAGGTCAGATTAATAGTAATATAGGTCAGATTAATACTAATATAGGTCAGATTAAGAGTAATACAGACCAGATGGTCAAACTAATGACTGATGGACATGGAGGTGATAATGAAGAATCAGAGAACCTGCATGATCAGATTTAACTCATGGACATCAAAGGCAGCGAAGAAGATACATTAGATGATTGACAGAGAAATGGGATTCTCACATTAGCATAGTTTTTGATTATGCTTAAATTTGGTATGATGCTTTAATTTGGGGTGCCATCATCCTATTATATATTTTTCATATAATAAAAGAGACTTTTCTAGTTTCTGTGCAAAAGATCAAATAGACTTTTTTTTTTTTTTTTTGGGTGGGGGAGGGGGGCAAAAAGGTCAAAAAGACTAGATTCTCAAAACTGGTTAAAAAGCTACCCAAGTGACTTGAAACCTAAGGTGAACCTTTTAGCCCTAAAAACATAAAAAGGACAGCCTGTATATCCTATTGGGTTTCAAAAACATAACAAAATGGCCCAATGATATTAAGGCCCACCCGGATAAAAGCAGAATACTCTGGTGCCAACCACGTGGCGAAGACAAAGAGCCCTGGTTTGTCCGTCAATTTCCACCGTCGCGATCCTGGCTCCGGAAATTGCCGAATTGACGCCGGGAAAATGTATTCTTTCAACTGATAAATGGAACTTGAAATAAATCTGTTAAGAACAAATGGGCCGAGACTGAAAAAAGCCCCAAATAATAACAGTCAAACAAGCAAACTAATTTCGCGCTCTCGTTTCCGTTAAACCCTTTCTTATTATTCTCAGGCTCTCTCTCTCTCTCTCTCTCCCTCTCTTTCTTCTCCAAGAACGCCATTTCAGATCGAACCCTTCTCCAAGACCAGAGACTATCGCAGGGAGAGGTTTCTTGATCTGTGAGAGTTTTAGAAAAATGGGTGGTTTGCCTGGAGGTTGTAAGACTGCGCAGGAATTAGCCCAATACGTAAGATTTTATCAATCCAAGAATCGAAGTATCTTTTAGGAATCATGAATCGTTTCCGACGATTGAATTACAGCAATCTCTTTCTTCTTTCTTTGCTCTGTTTCAGCTTAAAGACAGAGTCGTGGAATGCTTGAATCTCTGCAAGAGCAAGGAAGAAACTGTTATACATCTTTGGGAACACTTTCAAATCACTCGTGAACTCACCACCATTGGTAAAAATTCCTTTTCACCGAATCATTAATGGGTCTGAGGCAAAAACTTCAACAGTTCGAATCTTTATCTTTTAGCTTGGGACAGTCTTGAACAAATCGATCCAGATCTCTTCAAATCATACTATGCAGCTTGCGAGATCTATCGGAGGATCCGTGAGCGCGACGCAACAAGTACGCAAATAAGAAACCCAGAAACAACCTACTTTACCTTCTCACACAAGTTTCATGTTTTTTTGATAAAATAAAATATTTTCTTATTTTTGGTCTTGCGGCTGGTGAAGAAGCAATGCCTCCTCCTGCTCAAATCACAGAAAAACATGGATATTGTAAGTCCTCCAAGAGAGTGTAGATACGGATAAAACAGAGCTGGTTTTTGAGTTTTTCTTGTGACTGTCGTGTAGCTTCGCCACCAGGGGAAGATGCAGAAATGGCCAAAAGGGCGAGAGAGCAAGACCAACAACGTCTACTTCCTCGTACTCCTCGTAGCTGTAAATAAACTTCTCCTTGTTTCTTCAGTGTCTCACTGTGTGTACCTAAAAACTTGATAAAGGAAAATCTTTTTTGTTTTGGGTCTTGCGACTGGTGAATAAGCAGTGATGGCTCCTCCTGCTCAAATCAATGCATTTCGTAAGTCCTTCAAGAGAGTGTAAATACGAAAAAAAATAGAGTTGGTTTTGAGGTTTGTTTTGATTGATTCTCTTGTGGTTGTTGTGTAGCTTCGCCACCAGAGCAAGATCCAGAAATGGCCAAAAGGTCGAGAGTTAAGTGGTTCGCTGAAAATAGGGCGAGAGAGCAGCAAGACCAACAACGTCGCTGTAAATAAACGTGTCCTTGTTCCTTGAGTTTCTCACTGTGTATACCCTAAGAAATTGAAGAATCTGTCTGTTGACATTGTCTTTGCTTCTGTTAGTAGTGGAGACTGCTCCAAATGTCAAGAGAGACGCTGCTGCAACATCACAAGTGCCTAAAGAAGCTGCTAATACTAATGTTCGTAGATCACTAAAATTTGTGGAGAAGAATTCAAGTAAAGCGGGACTGTCCAAGGCTTTAGGGAAACAAAAGGTTCAAGCCTCGCAGAAGCCAGTTCCTCCATGTAATGAAACTAGTCAACTTTTCCTTGTGTTTCTCTCATTGTGCCTTCTTGAATCTCAAAACTTGTGTGTGTTTTGTCTTTGTGTTTGGGTTCTCTTAGCAATTGAACTTTGGAAGCAGATTTTGAGTACTTTGGGTGAGATTGGGAGTACTAGAGAGCAGATGCTCAAACTAATGACTGATGGACAATGCTTCGGATCACGTCCTTCTGCTGCGGGATCCTCCAAGAGACAGCGAGCTGAGAAGGAGCAAGAGAGAGGTGACAATGAAGAAGCGGAGAAACTGCAGGAGCAAGAGAGAGGTGACAATGAAGAAGCAGAGAAACTGCAGGAGCAAGAGAGAGGTGACAATGAAGAAGCAGAGAAACTGCAGGAGCAAGAGAGAGGTGACAATGAAGAAGCAGCGAACAAGAAGGTGCAAGAGAGAGGTGACAAAGAAGAAGCAGAGAAACTGCAGGAGCAAGAGAGAGGTGACAACGAAAAAGCAGCGAAACTGCAGGAGAAAGAGAGAGGTGACAACGAAGAAGCGGCAAACCAGAAGGAAAAGGAGAGAGGTGACACTGAAGAAGCAGAGAAACTGCAGGAGAAAGTGAGAGGTGACAAAGAAGAAGCAGCGAACGAGAAGGAGCAAGAGAGAGGTGACAATGAAGAAGCAGCGAAACTGCTGGATCTGAATCAACCATCGCCACAATAAACTCATGGCCATTTCAAAGGCAGCGAATATACATTAGATGATTGACGGAGGAGATGAGATTCTCAAGTTAAATCCTTTATCAGTAGTAGAAGACATAGATGAATGTTAAGGCAAGGTTTCAATTTTCAAGTAGTAGATTCTAGACATCACCAGATAGTTTGGATTTTGATTGCAATAGTTTCATAATCGATTACAGAGAGAGACTCGAGAGTCTAAAAACACTAAGGAAACCCAAAACATGAACTACATAAGACGACAAACCGCACGCTCCTCTGTCTGAACTTGCTTCTCATTCCACTCCATTACCGGGCCTGTAACATCCTCTTCTGTGTTCTCTGTGCTGAAGTGAACGACTTTGACAGAAGAACTGGCTTCAGACACACAATCCGGAGAGAATTCATTTAGTGAATATCACAAAGGAGAGGAAGTTAAAAAAGCTAAGTAAATCACCCAAATCACGTACCTGTTACGACTTCTGCTGGTGATCTTCTTGGTTTTTACACACTTCTTGACAAATTTTCCAGGCTTGACCTCCTCCGTAATGCAGTTCTCAGTAGACTCTGTTCTTTCCTCCGTGCCACCAACGATGCATAGAACCATACCTAGTTTCTTGATGAGATTCTTAGCCTGAGAATAAATGGGTTTATCAATCTCTTAGACTTAATTCCTCCTAAGACGATCTACTTTGAGAAAGTCACAAACCATCGGAAAATGAGTCTACAAACAATCCAACAAGAACCAGGGAGAGCAAAATTCGTATACGATTCAAAAAGTGAAACGAAAGTTTCGAAATTTAATACCCACGAGACGACTCAAAGACTGTAAATTGAAAACGAAAGCTGCGAAATTTAACACCCACAAGACGACTCAAAGACTGTAAATTGAAAACTATTAGAAACTTACAAGCGTTTTTTCAGAGGTTCTAAAGGCGCCGGAAAGACTTTGCCTGTCACCGTAGAAACTCGCCGGAGAGAGACAAGAGTTCTCGTTCTCACAAATATTTTCTCTCTTTCCATCTACAGACTCGCGCATACTTTTCTTGGCCTCTTGGGCTTTCAGGCCCAATTTAGGCCCTTAGAAAGGTTTGTAGAATCGTAGATTCTTTTTAATTAATTTTAACGTGTTTTCTTCGATCTTGTGAACAAATTACAAAACGAGACTAAATCAATAGCGGATTCTCTTTAAAAAAAAACAGTTCATAGGAATTAGGAAGTTGGCTTACTTTCTTATTGACACTATACTAGCATAGCAGTTTAAAAGAACATTGCAGCAAAATTGTGATGCTACATTCAAATATATACAATAAATTAAATAGCAGTATTTTCTTGTAAAACTAGACTTACATCTATTGTTGAGAAGTGACGTAATTAATCTAAGATTTGTAATGTTAAAGAATGATTTAAGAGATTCATTTAAGTTACGTATGTAATTAGGATTCGTGTACATATCACAATGTGATAAAGATAAAATCTAGTATTTTTATATATAAGATAAAATCTAGTTTAAACTTATCCTATAAAAGTGTATATAAAAAGGTTGCGTACAACCAATAATGTTAACAACCAAGTTCTATCAAATATATTGTAATTCAATGGACACCGCTCCAAAATTCGAGAGAGACGATGCTGCATCATCACAGTCCGAGGCTCAAGAGCCTCAAACCCCTCATGAGCTAGTTTCTCCATGTAATGAAATAGTCAGTTGAGACTCATAATAGTACAAGTAAAAGCCTTTATTACTTGTATCTCATTTTTTAGAAAATATCCCAAATAAAGTTAAGAAACTGATGTACTTGCCAAAAATAGAGAAAACGGACTTTAGCAGAGTTTTGATCAACAGAGGCACATGTTGGTATGATTCTTAATTTCTTATTGTTTTACAGTTTATGGTTGCCATCACATCCTACTATATAGTTTTTAATAAGATAAAAGAGACTACATAGTATATTCTTAAAGAAGAGAGAATAAAAACCCTAGATTCTCAAGGAAGAGTTTTACAATCCCAAGTCTCGGTAAAGGCCAAAACTATTCACTTCCGACAATTGACCCGGCGAGACTAATTAGTCAGCTAATCCGATTACTCGGCCAAAACTGGTTAAAAGCCACCCAAGTGACTTGGAACCTAAGGTGAACTCTTTAGCCCTAAAAACATAAAAGATCAACCTATAATATCCTATTGGGTTTCCAAAAAATAACAAAAGGGCCCAATGGTAGTAAGGCCCACTCGGATAAAATCAGAATACTATGACGCCATCCACGTGTCGAAGACGAAGAGTTCTGGTTTATCCGCCAATTTCCACCGTCGCGATTCCGGCACCGGTGATTACCGAATCAACGCCGGAAAAATGTATTCTTTCAACTGCCGTTTCTTCGATTGTCGGCAAAAATGGATAAATGGAACTTGAAATAAATCTGTTAAAGAACAAATGGGCCGAGACTGAAAAAAAAGCCCCAAATAACAGTCAACAGATTTATATTAAAAAAGTCAATAAACAATCATACTAATTTCGCGCTCTCCTTCTTTTTCCCATCTCTACCTCGTTTCCGTTAAACCCTTTCTCATTGTTCTCAGGCTCTCTCTCTCTCTCTCTCTCTCTCTCTCTCTCTCTCTCTCTCTCTCTCTCCTTCTCTTTCTTCTCCAAGAACGCTATTTCAGATCGAACCCTTCTTCAAGCCCAGAGAGTATCGCAGAGAGAGGTCTCTTGATCTGTCAAAGTAACAGAAAAATGAGTGGTTTGCCTGGCGGTTGTAAGACCCCGCAGGAATTCGAACGTTACGTAAGATATTTTATCAATCCAAGAATCTAAGAATCTCTTTGGAATCATGAATCATTTCCGACGATTGAATTACAACAATCTCTTTCTTCTTTCTTTGCTCTGTTTCAGGTTCATGACAGAGTTTTTCAATGCATGCGAATCTTCAGGAGCAAGGAAGAAACTGTGCGCCATCTACGGGATCAATGTCAAGTCATTCCTGGACTCACCACCATTGGTAAATTCCTTTTCACCGAATCATTAATGGGTCCGAGGCAAAACCTTCAATAACTCGAATCTTTATCTTGTAGCTTGGGATAACATTGCACGAGAGCATCCAGATTTCTTCAGATCATACGAGAACCAACGGAGAATCCGTGAGCGCGATGCAACAAGTAGGCAAACAAGAAACCCAGAAACAACACATGTTTTTTCTTCTCGCACAAGATTCATTTTTTTTTTATAAAAGAAAACCTTTTTTCTTTTTTGGGTTGCGTCTGGTGAAGATGCGATGGCTAATCCTGCTCAATTCACAGGAGAAACTGGATTTCGTAAGTCCTCCAAGCGAGTGTGAATCTGAATACAGCATAGATGGTTTTTAGGGTTTTTCTTGTTTGATTCTCTTGTGATTCTTGTGTGGCTTTCTCCCATCAGAGCAAGATTCAGGAATGACCAAAGGGACGGGATCGAAGTGGTTCGCTAGACAAACTCCGGGACAGCAAGAACAAATACGTCGCGGTTAATAATCTTCTCCTTGTTCCTTGAGTTTCTCGCTGTGTATGCCTAAGAATCTGTTTGCTGACATTGTCTTTGCTATCTGTTAGCTGTGGAGGCTGACGCAGCTCAAGCCGCTGCTAATGCTAAAGCTCTTAATCCCCAAATCTTTGTGGGGCAGAATTCAAGCAAAGCGGGATCGTCCAAGGCTCAAGAGAAACAACAGCTTCAAGCTCCTCAGGAGCCACTTTCTCCATGTAATGAAACCACTCAGATGTTCCCTCTGTTTCTCTCCTTGTGACTTCTTGAATCTCAGACCTTGTGTTTTTCTGCTTGCTTTTTGTCTTGGGCTTCTTTTAGCAGCCGAGTTTTGGGAGCAGCTTTTGACTACTTTGGGTCAGATCAAGAGTAATACAGATCAGCTGAAGAGTATTAAGAGTAATACAGATCAGATCAAGAGTAATACAGATCAGATGAAGAGTAATACAGATCAGATGAAGAGTAATACAGACCAGATGCATAAACTAATGACTGATGGACAAGGATTCGGACCACGTGCTTCTGCTGCGGGATCCTCCAAGAGACAGCGGGTTGAGAAGGAGCAAGAGAGAGGTGACAAAGAAGAAGCAGAGAAACTGCAGGAGCAAGTGAGAGGTGACGATGAAGAAGCAGAGAAACTGCAGGAGCAAGTGAGAGGTGACGATGAAGAAGCAGAGAAAGTGCAGGATCTGAATCAATCACCGCCACCATAAACTAATGGAGATCAAAGGGAGCGAAGATAGCACTAGATGATTGACAGAGAGATGAGATTCTCTCGCATTAACATAGTTTTTGATGACCAGAATATATTGGACATGTTTAGTATGATGCATACTTTCTTATTGACACTACTACTAGCTTAGCAGTTTAAAAGACAATGGGGAGAGATTTTATCTGTTTTCTTGAGGCTTTGTATTGTTGGTCCCAAACCTGAAAAAACTCTGGAGAAGAGATAATAAACATGCAATCAAAGTTGAGAACAAGATATCCTTTCAAATCTCAATCCATTTATTTTTGTTGCAAAATACAAAAATCAACCGAAGCACAAGTGTTTGCGACGCAGATGTTTATTCCTCTGACAAAGAAAAAAAAACCAAAAACAGAAGTGCAGAAATCCCCAGAAAAAAAAAAAAACAAAAAATCTTCAAAAGCAAGCATGATTTAGTGAGAAGGAACCATAAGACCTAGAGACTTGTTGAGCCAGACTTTCCATTTCCCAGATGTCTTCCGTGTTGTTGTTGTCGTCGTTTCCACAGAGTCTCCAAGGTTTTGAGATTCTGACTTCTTAGACAGAACGAAGTTCCTCGATCCTGTTGATCCGATTTTCCCCCATGGATTGAATGCTGAGACATTGATTGCAGAACCAAATCCATCAAAGGGCAACAAAAACAACATAGTGAAGACTCAAAATGGGTTTTGGTGAGATTTGTTTCTTTTTACGAATCTCTTCTCACCTTCAGCTGCAGAGTAAGGACAGTAGAGTAGAAAAAAGCTGGGATCTGATCGGAGAAGTGGAAGCCTTCCTTCACGGGAATAGCATTTGAGGGCGTAATCAATCACATTGGCTACAGTTTCATCTTCTTTGACAACAAAACGAATCGGGCCAGCACTTCCTAGGAAACTTATGCTAACGAGGAACCTGTTTATCTTCACTTTCTGGGTTTTCTTCTGCTTGTTGTTGTACAGCAACATGTTTTTACGAAAATCTCACAAATGCAAAAAACCAAGGATTTTAGAAAAAAAAACACTTTTTTGTTTTTTGGGTTAATTCAAGGGTCGACGCCGATGCAGCGGAAGTACCAGCCTTCCTTGCAAGAGCCGAACGTCAAAGCAGACGCGGTGGAGACGCGGAGGAGAGAGCTCGTCCTTGCGGTGGTGCAATGGGAGAGCATAAATTCTCTGGTGATCGGAGTTGTTTCCACCATTCAAGACGCTGCAGCTGTAAGAAATATCTGCAGAATTTGATTGATTTAGGAAAAACGAAATCGGAATCGAAATTGGGGGAAAACGGAAAAAAAAATATCAGATAGTGAAATGGAGACCTGTATGAGCAAAGACGGAGTCTATGATCGCTTCGTTTGAAGGTAGTTTCCGATCAGCAAATCCGAAATTTGGAAGAGAATTCTCTCGGCGTCGGAAGTCAAAATTGATTCGGAAAGAGAGTTTTTTTTTTTTTTTTTTTGGAGGTGGAGAATAGTGAGATTAAGGAATGGGTTAAATATTGGAATCTAGGGTTTGTTGCAGAGATAAAGGAGATGAGATTGGTTGACCCGATTCTTCATCCGCAAGCAAAGCAAACCCTTTCAAGCACCGAAACCGTCTCCCCACTCTCAGCCAATTCTAAGGAATAAAATGAAAATTCTCTGTATTTTTTTTTTTTTTTGGTCTTAGCTGAAAAATGGGCTCGTTAATGATATCGTGAGGCCCATTATCATGGGTTTGTGATACTTCATCAACGTTGAAAAGTAGACCCATTCGATTAGCCTCTTCAGTCTTTAGATTAGTGTTAATTAAATCAAGTACATATTATTTCTATCAACAAGTCAGCAGGACATTTCTTTCTTGTCGGCCAGCAAGACCTTTTAAGTTTTAAAGCAATAAAGTAAGAATATAGAAATTTAATTAATATTTAAAAAAAAAACCAAGGATAATTTCTTTGTTTTGTATATAGAAAATAATGTCTACATTTAATGGTTACCATATTTTAAAAGTTTGTATCAAAGTAGTCCCGTTCAAATTTGACAAATGTATCGTCGAAAAATAAAACAAGGTTGGAATTAAATATTTGGTAAATAGTCTCTTCCTCTGGTTTAGTTTTTAGATTTTTGTCTCATTTCTGAGCAATTGAGGGAGAGAACGTGTTGGATAGTTGGGGAGGAGAATAGAGACACCTTCTTCTTCTTCTAAATCATCATCATCCCCAAACTCTTTCTCCTTGTAATTCTTCTTCCTCGTTTTCTCCAAACTTTGTCCAAACTTTTAAAGATTTCTCCTCCTTCATCCTTTTCGAATCCATGGATCAAAGGCCTCTCGGATTGCTAACGATTCACGTCAAAAGAGGTATTAATCTCGCGATTCGCGACCACAGAAGCAGCGATCCTTATATTGTTATCACCGTCGCCGATCAGGTTTGGATCTTATTTTGCAAAAACATCCCAATCATTTTGTCTCAATTCTCATTTCTTTCTCCTGGATTTTTTTTTTTTAATTGGTTTTGAAAGCATCACCTTTACATCCTCAAATTTATAGGCTCAGATAAAGAATTGTTATTATAATTATTATGAAATTGAAGATAGATCACTTTGGATTCTCTGTTGTTTTTAATACACAACCAAATATGAAATCTTCAGACATTGAAGACACGCGTGGTGAAAAAGAACTGCAACCCAATATGGAATGAAGAAATGACTGTTGCAATCAAAGACCCCAATGTCCCAATCCGATTGGTAAACTGAAAAACTTTCTTTTTCATATTGATTCTGACAAGAGACAAATTCTCCTTCTGTTCATGAGTTTAAAACGTTGTTGTGTGTTGTTATTGAATTTTGTTCAGACAGTGTTTGACTGGGACAAGTTCACAGGAGATGACAAGATGGGAGATGCAAACATCGAGATTCAACCATATTTAGATGCTCTGAAAATGGGAATGGAGCTTTTGAGGCTCCCTAATGGATGTGCAATCAAAAGGGTTCAACCATCGAGGCACAATTGTTTATCAGACGAAAGTAGCATTGTGTGGAACAATGGTAAGATCACACAAGACATGATCCTTAGGCTTAACAATGTCGAGTGCGGTGAGATTGAGATCATGCTTGAATGGCATGAAGGTGCTGGTTGCAGAGGTGTGACTTCGTCTTCCAAAGGAGGAGGCTCTTCCTCTACCTAAGAAATGTTCTCTTTTTTTTTTTTTTTTTTTTTTTGTTTGTGTCGTATGCTTGATGAATGATCTGTTGTTGTTTCAATATGTATAAGTGATAAATCATGTTTTTTTTTCTTAATGACCATTTCAATGCAATGATCAGGAAGAATATTTGGAGAATTTGAGACGTTTGTACGAGTTCATTTGAATTGAGTAATTTCAGTTTCAGTTTTGGGGTTCATGTTTTTGTTTGCGTTTTGTGATTTGCATTTTCTTTTACAAGGCACGGCCGGGTTAAATCAAATGGGCCGGCCCACAGTTTTTAATTTAATTTTACTTCCACTTAATGGGCTATTATTTTATTTTTGGCTCATTCATGAACACCGACTTGACGCATTTATGCGACTTGGCGCATTTATGGGATTCGTAGATTTTTTTTAATTTTGTAGATTTTTTTTTTTTTTTTAATTTTGTAACTCTCGTAGAATTATTGGCGTCACGTTCACGGGTCAGAATAATTTAATTATTAAACCAATACAATTTGTGGTAGTTATTGCCTTGTGACCTTGTCATATCTGCATGGGCCATCATTGTAAACATTTAGGTTGTACATTAAAGGGTCATTAAACGAATATATATATGCGAAACTTTCAAACATTGAATGATCTACTCCCTTACAAATCCGCATGATCATGTACTAATTAACTATATAGATTATAGAATAAGTTTCATAAAACAAATGTCTATTAGTCCCTCTCTCTCTCTCTAAATATAGAGTATATGACGACTATATATATATAGATCACTGGATAAACAGTAGAATAATAAAACGAACAACTCATTTTTATATTAAACATAATTAAATAATGATCCGTGTAAAAAATATGAATTAAACATGCATGACGATGATCACCACATGCATCATATTACTAAAGCAGGACGGTCTACGAAAATAATGAAGTTCTCGCAAAACCCCATTTAATAACACCTTGATATAGAGGAGGAGGTGATATGAATGGACATACATGAAGCCTCGAATTTATTACCATATTTAACAACATCAAAGCATATTACAAAGCTATATATATAACCCAAACGTATATAGTTTAGAAATTCATGATACCATACAATAAGCAGAGCCCCATTTATTACATAGAAAACATCATATAGAGACACGCATACACGAAGGGAGCCATATATGACGGTGATGATTCATGAAGATGGTTCGAAGGATAGGAGCAAGGGGATTTAAGCTTTGATGACGTGCTTGTCCATGTCAGCAGCCATGCTCGTGCAGAACTTCATGTAGTTGATGGGCTCAGGTGAGTCCTCGGTTCGCTTCTCCCAGATCATAGTGACCTTGCAGATGATATCCTCAGGCGACTTTTGAATGAACTGGAATATGACGTCATACACCTTAAGCGTCTCCATCACGTGACCTTCAAGACCTCTGAACGTGACCGCATTATTCTCATCGTCTATCTCTCTCCTCTCCTTGAACACCTCCGGTTTCCCATCTTCATATTCATATTCATTTTTATTTATGTGTTTCATTCCTTAAGTTATCACCATGTATCTTTATGTTTTAAATAATAAATGTTTAATTTTAACTAATAAGAATACATGGTTATTCCATAGACTCGGAATATATTAGTTGGAGTTTTACATATTAAAAGAAATCTGCAAATCTACTTTTAGATAAATCTATTAGTTCACACTAGAGTGACTCGTTATAGAGAGAGCTGACTTTATGGTCAAACCGCTTGATTCGATATATTACTGACTGTCCAGACTTCTGACAAATTGGTGCAACTATATTAATATATATTCATTAATTTTGTATGTGCCATCATATAGACTGTCATCATAACCATGGCCATATTATTACTAAAATTAAACCATGGCCTAGTTTTAAGACCTCGGTTATAAGATATTATAGCAAGTAAATCGTTACCGCATGTGTAGTTCCAAATCTTGATGGCTCCATGAGAGTCCCATTCGCCTTCGTGGACGGTGACACCTTGGATGTGGGAGCCAACGGCGTCGGGGAAGAGGTGGTTCTCATTTCTCCACCGCTTGTAGTGTTTCTCCGCCGATCCTTTCAACGGAACCTCCGTCACATATGTTCCTGACGTCGCCATCTCTCTCTCTCTCTCTCTCTCTCTAACTTCTTTAGGTTGTGAGTGAAGTTTGTTTTTTTGTTCGTTGATGAATAATTTCACTTGTAGCTTCGTTCGTTTATATAGAGATCGTAACGGTTATATAAATCGAAAAGGGTCTTTTTATTTTATTTTTACATTTGACATTTTTTTTTGGAACATTATTTTAACATTTTCTTTTTTTAACCTAGATCTCTCGTATTGCGTACGTTGTTACAATATAATTGGTGTAGAGAAAAAACTATGGCCATGCATCTATTAAAGAGCAAGTATAAATATAAACTTACACAGGCCCGTTCTCAAAAAAAAAAAAAAATATATATATATAAACTTACACTCTGTAAAATTTACTGTTGATTAGTAAATGTCGTAATTCACGATTATCAAGTTCTTATCATACATTAGGTTTGGCAACATGCATTTGGAAAACCAAAAAAAATAAATTAAATGCATCGTCATAAAAATTTTTTTTAGCTTTTACTTTTTAGTGTATATTTGGCTTTCATTACATGTCCATGGGACCGTCACCAAAAAAACACCTTACACGCCTAGAAAATTATCGTCAAGCCATGAAGAAAAATATCATAATTTTAATGAAGCAGGTAACAATCACTTTCATCTTTCTATTAATTAAAAAAAAATAAAAAAACCCTGATTGAAAATGACCGTTTATC